TTTTTAAACTTAAGCTATGTAGGTAGGTACATTGTTATTAACTTAATTAGGGTACTCCTAAGGCTTAGGAAGAGCCACACTCAAGGGGCCAAAGAGCCGCATGTGGCTCGCGGCCCGCAGTTTGCCGACCACCTATGTGCCCCAATTGGGAATTGAACCCGCCCGCAACCCAGGTATTTGCCCTGATCGGGAATTGAACTAGCAACCTTTTGGTGTACAGGAGTACAGGAGGATGCTCAACCAACTGAGCCACTCCAACCAGGTTACATGCTGAATGTTTTCCTTCTTTGTTCATTTTTTTTTTTTTTTAAATATCCTTGGGGAGGATTTTTTTTTTTTTTTTTTTTTTTTTTTTTACAGAGAGGGGTAGAGAGTTAGAAACATGGATGAGAGAGAAACATCGATCAGCTGCTTCCTGCACACCTGCTACTGGGGATGTGCCTGCAACCAAGGTACATGCCCTTGACCGGAATGGAACCTGGGACCTTTCAGTCTGCAAGCTGATGCTCTAACCACTGAGCCAAACCTGTTAGGGCCTTCTTTGTTCATTTCATCCTTCTCTTGGCTGAAGTATTATTTCTTGGAAGCCTTCCCCTAACTAGGTTACTTCCTTTTATTATAGGCTTTCTCAACATGGTGTACCTTTCTTAACTATGGCTTGTTATATTTGAAGTTTTACATTTTGTGTGTGATTATTTGGTCAAAGTGATCTCTGCAAAGGATCATAGCAGTTCATCCTCACCATTATATTCTCGGTGCCTTGAGTAGTGCTTGGTAAATAATAGGTGTGCATAAATATGTCATTGGTTGGTTATTTACATAGATAGATAGGTAAAATGAATGGTTTAGATCATGATTGTTCAGTAGAAGTATAATGTGAGTCACAAATGCTGAGATGGAAGTAGGAAAACAGAATCAGACAGCCTTAGGGGGTTATTGCAAATAATTCAGGTGAAAGGTGATAGTGGCTTGGACCACAGTAGTAACGGTAGAGATTATGAGAAATGATTGGATTCCAGACTCATTTTGAAGGTAGAGCTGACAAGATTTGCAGATTTGCTGATGGATTCCTTATAGGGTGTGAAAGATGAGGAGTCATATGATTTTAGGTCTAAGCAGTTGGTAGTTACCATTTACGAAAGTTCAGAAGCCTGCAAGAGAAGTTTGGGGAGGGAGGCATATCAGATCAGTTTTAGATATATTGAGATGCATCATAGCTATTTAAGAGAAAATAATAGAGAAGGCAACTGAGTGAAAGTCTGGAGATCAGGGAAGAGGGCCTTTTGATTTTTCAACTATTTATGGTGCCTAGCCCACCCAATCTTTTCTATGATTGACAAAATGGTGATTTTTCAACTCTACAAACTCCTTTCACACGTATCAGTCAGCACTTTTGTCCTTTAACAAAAGTATTATATGTGATTTATAGAAAAATATATGGGCAAACAAATTAAGGCAATTAGTTCTAACCATACAATTTAAAGGTAGTTATTAATCTTTCTTTCATACACTAACTTTATTAAAATTGCTGTATAATCCATGGAGTAGGTATTCTGTTCAGCTTTTTTTTTGTAGTTATTAGACCTTATTATTATTGAAATGAACTTCTATGAACTTATCTGAGATATATACCATTATGATCAGGATAGGGGGTAAACAATTAAAAAATCAGGAAAACTCAGAAATTTTAAGAAATAATCTAAAGAATTTTAAAGAATATGCTAGGATAGATTTTGGTAGTACCACAGTTCTGGTTGAGTGGGATGTAGTATCATGGAAGTACAACTGAATAGAAAATTTAATTATACTGTATTTTTTCTAAAGAAGATCTATTGCTGTAGCCTATATACACTTTCAGTCTGCCCTGTTTTCAGCCCCATTTGGGGGCAGGTGCAGCGGGGTGGGATGAGCAGGAGCGGCGCGGCACCCAGCCCGGGCTCAGAATTCTCCCCGGCGCTGCTTTGCGCACTACTTCGTGCTGTGCGGAATCGACTCAGACAGCAGGCTGGAGCCCAATGAGCTGGCGGGTAAGGCCAGACTGCAGCAGTGCGGAGGTCCACTGATCCCCGCAGGCCAGGCCAAGGGACCCCGCCAGTGCATGAATCCGTGCACCAGGCCTCTAGTAGTCATATGAGGCCAGCACATAGTGATTCAGGAAATGTTTAATGTGTATACTTTAGCCACTCAGAACTGTGGTTTATTGTCTTAATCTTAAAAGAAATAGTTTTATAGGCTAAAGAACATTGTGGAGTTCTATAATTTTTGCTAAATAAATTGATAAAGAGATAAAAGATTGATGCTATTAAGGGGGAAGAGAATAAACAATAAACCCTGGAAATGCAAAGTGTAAATTTTCTTCAGCAAATAAGTTTTCTGTTACATTGATGACTCTCTGTACTCTATCCAGTAGACAATGATGTGGCATATGTGATGTGATTCTGTAATATTGTAATTCACTTATTGGGCAAAAAATTAAGATACTAATTTTATACAGTCTTATGAATAGTGTAAAACACTAAACCAAATAGTTGACATTTTCACTGTTTACATTTTGACTCAAAAGCAGGCAGTTTCCACTATCTAACATAAGTCTGATGTATTATTCATTTTATCTTTGCTTTTCATTGAAAGCTCTCCTGACTGTTACTGTCAAAGACATATAAAAGCCTAGAAGTTAATTTGAGATACTTAGGAGGAAATGTTAACTATTTTGTGCTAGAATGTAAAAATATCTTGTTTATAAAATTTAATGAAATCAAACTCTTCATGATGAGAATTTACTTTTGAATAATGGAGGCAGAAAAAATGTAATGTCTTTCCTAAGACTTATTTTGGACCTTTTTCTTAAATAAAAAAAAAAATCTTTTTTATTGATTTCACAGAGAGAGAGAGAGAGAAGCATCAATGATTGATCAGCTATCTCCTCCACACCCCCTTCTAGGGATTGAGCCCGAAACCTGGCATGTGCCCTGACCAGGAATTACCTGTGACCTCCTGGTTCATGGGTTGACATTCAGCCACTGAGCCACCCCAGCTGGTCTATTTTGAACCTTTTTTAATTGTGCTTTCAGTAATGTTTCCATTAGTTTAGCTAACTAAAAGCATTTGATGAAAAACACTTTTTTGAAATATATTTATAGCTTGTGTCACCTCATTTGTAGGAATGGTGAATGAAATTTAGTGTTTGGTAACTTTACCCTTGTTGTACTCTTCATCTGAGGACTCTTCAAAAAAGTTACTTGAGCCCTGGCTGGATTGCTTAGTAGTTAGAGCATCAACCCGTGAACTGAAGGGTCTCAGGTTCTATATAAGGGTATGTACCTCAGTTGCAGGTTCTATTCCTGGCCCCATTTGGGCGCATACAGGGGCAACCAATCAATGTGTCACTTGCGATGTTTTTCTCTCTCTCTCCCTCCTCCCTTCCACTCTGTCTGAAAATCAATGGAAAAAATATCCTCAGGTGAGGATTAAAAAAAAAAGAAACAACAAAAAAGTTACTTGAGTAGAAAAACAAAAGAATAACAAGAGTGTCCCACCAGCCAGAATGGGTTATGTTTATGTTTTTTGCTGTAGAGTATGATACTTCTAAGAATATAATTAGTTTTGCTTTTCACTTTCTAATTTTTCTCTACAGCCCCATGATTTTGATGAATGTCGATTTGATATTAGTGTAAATGACAGCGTTTGGTATCTTCGTGCTCAGGATCCAGATCACAGACAACAGTGGATAGATGCCATCGAACAGCACAAGGTAGGGTCTCCAGTGTTTACTTGTCCATCTTGAGATATATTGTGTGTTACTGAAAAGTTGTACATTGTTTGGGTGGTAAAATTAAAGCAGTACAGAATTAAATTTGTGAAATACTTTTATTTCTAAGGGACTTTTCTATGATAAATATTTTTAATTGTTAACTAAAATAAAATATGCCCTTTTTAGTAAACCAAATCTTGATTTTCCAATTTAGGATTTGCTTCATAATAAATGCCATTTATATGATCTGGATAAAATAATTTTTGAAATAACATTGGATTGTAAAACCCTAATATTTAAAAACTTCAATGTTAGGCTCATCATAACCATTTTGGATAAATTCTTAGTGTAAACATTTGCAAATCATTTTTTGGTAAGTATGAAAATATCTCATAATAAACCTTTAGGATAATAATATATATATATATACACCACATTCTTGTAATTTAAAGCTAGTCTTTGACTTCTGCTATGATATTAATAAATCTGCGTTATTAGTTAATTCAGTATACCATGGTAAACCAAGGAATAAGTAAAGTTATAAATTTACCATGCCACTCCTGAGTGACTTCAAGGGAACTTTGCACATGTTCACATACTTGCCTATACTTGTTCATTTGGGTTTTACAGAGTTGTAGTTGAAACGCCTGTTTTGGTTGAGAGGTGCAAAATATGTACACACACAAAGCAAGAAAAACCAGTCTGACCTTGGATACCACAGGCACATTCTTCTTGATATTGATCATGCATTAGCTTTTATTGTCTGATTATTGATTCTGCATTTTTCCCAGCCTAAAGAAAACTGGCTGTGATGTCCATCTTTTAATCTCTGTTTTAGCTTTAGTATTATATTGGTTTTTGAAATTTTGTGGTCCTGGCTGGTGTGGCTCAGATGGTTGAAGCGTCATCCTGTGTACCAAAGGGTTACAGGTTCGATTCCCGGTCAGGGCACATACCCAGGTTGCAGGTTCGATCCCCAGTCAGAGTGAGTACAGGAGACAACTCTCTCACATCAATGTTTCTTTTTCTAAAATAAAAATAATAAAAAATAAATAAAAATTTTGTGAATCTTAATTATCTTAGTATTAATTTAGAAAAGAGTCTAAAAATGGGAAAATGGGAACAATTTTCTGTTATTTAAAAGAGAGATGAAAAATAAAAAATATAATAATAATAAAAAGAGATGAGAATTACAGATTCTCACTGTGTTAGAGCCAGGCCTACCTGGAATCAGACACTGCAGCCTCTGCCAAGTATAACATATGTGGCCGTTGGTATGATAATTCATCTCTTAGTGTGTGTAAGGAATACATGGGATAATATAAAGTTATTTACCACAGTGGCTGATAATATCTTCCCATTCATGACATAGTGGAAAAAAGAATGGGCTTTGGAGCTGCAACTAAATTCACTAAATTATCCCATGGTGTTTCTGGATGAAGAGATCTGCATTCAGTGAGAGTTGCTAAATGTGCACATAAGGAGCGTGGCCTAGTTTGTGAATTTAATCAGGGCCAGCCCTCTTAATGATTAAAGATGTTATTAAGTAGAACTAATTTTTATTTTTTTAACTGGGATGATTTTTAAAGGTTTAGTTGATTTAGATTACAGGGCTATTTTTTTTCTGTTTAATTAAGCACATTTTATTTTGCTTGTTTTTCTTAGCATGCTTCCAGTTTGTATTTTCTTTTTTAATGAAGACGTATACATGAAGCATATATTTCTTCCATATTATTGATTTCTTTGTGTCTTTGAACAACAGATAGATACAATCTTTGGGTCTCTTTCAGAGCACTGTGACTTAAGCTGAGGTAACAGATTTTTGGTGAATTTAAGTTCTTAGAAAAGAGAATCAGCAGCAAGTTCCAGATACATTGTAAACTTTTTCTTTCAGATTTCTAAAGATAGTTTATTCATAGACAAGAAAGAAGGAATCATTGTTAATTGTTATTCTTAATACTTAATTATTTAATTTTAATGTAAAATATGTGATATGTGGCAACTAAGCAACATATCAGTAAAAATGTAAATTGCATGTGAATTGTAAAAGTAAATTGAGTTATTAAACTAACATGGAGGGAGAAAATTCAAATGCTATCACCAAATATAATCAGCAAATTTTATTTTATTTTATTTTTTTAGGAATGAGGTAGTGAGATGTTTTCTAATTCATTCTTCAATATCACTAAAGAACATTGAATGTGGAATCTAAATTTATTAATTTTACTATTTAAGCATGAATTGCTGTATTGCTATTCAAAATTAATATCAAATTGTTAAGGCATGATGGTGATGATAATGATGACGATGGTGATAATGATGATGATAGGAGCTCTACTGTTTTTTGAGGATCAGGAAGTACTAGTTATTGTTTGTACTTCATGTGCTTTATTTTCTTCCTACTGTCCTGAGAGATGAGGGAAGTATTGTTCTACAGAAGAGAAAACTGAGGTTTAGATTAAAATTAAGTAACTTGTCTGAGACTATACTACCTTCTAGTTTCTTAGGATTCAGTTTTATGTTGGTTCGCTTTCTATGTTTAAAAATAATTTCCATAAGTTTACCTTGTGCAGGTTATAGTATATCATCTGATTTCTACCATATATATGCAAGACACATATGAACTCATCTTTCTGCCCATGGATTGTCAAAAAGAGCTTTCCATTGTATTAATTGGTGTTTGAATACTGGATTCTGAGGTCTGACAAATGTGGGATTGAATTCTGGCACTATTATGTAATAGCTTTGTGACACTGGTAAGTTACTTAAAGAAGGAAAGATGACAGTGCGCTCCCCCTCCCCCCCCAAAAAAAACAAAAACAAGCAAGCAAAATAACCCAGTTATGATAAACCAAGAGTGTTGTACTTTAAAGTTGACCTGGATTTTCATCATTCCAACTCATTCAATTCATAGTTACTTCCTCATGGTCCCATATGTCCTTATGATGGTTGGACAGGACACTTGGAATAGCGGGTTTGTCTTTTTCTCTTTTAATGTCATCAGATGGGCTTTCATTGTCTTTTTTTTGCTATTACCTGACAGGTTTGAGTAATTTGTAATATTTGGAAGAAGTTCAAGGTTTCTGTTCTTTTCCTTCCAGGAGGCCCATACGCTCATTATAATAACTTCTGTGTACTAGTCCACTTCTCTCTCTCTCTCTCTCTCTCTCTCTCTCTCTCTCCCTCTCGCGCGCACACACACACACACACACACACACTAGCAGTTCTATCTTACAGGACCTTTTTAACAATAATGTAGTGATGATGATAATGATAGCTAACATTTTTGAGAATTGATGTATGCCAGATTTGGTAATAAACTATATACATTATCTCATTTTAGCCTCACAAACTTATGAGTTTAACATTATTATCCTATTTTTACAGATTAGGAAATTGAGACATAGGTTAAGTAACTTGTCCAAAATCAAACTGCTAATTAGTGAAGGAGCCAACATTCAGACCCAGGTCTATCTGACCTAAGAACCAGAGCTTTTGGCCAGCAAGCACTTCTGTCATCCTATAAGTATGTATGTATTTGAAATGTATTTTGTTGGCTTAAATCATGGGCTTTTTAAATTTCAATATTCTCATTTTTATATGTTCTTCATATCTCTTGTGTTTATTTTAAACCATAAGCTTCTTAAAGTTTCAGTTATACAACTTCTTTGTAGTAATCAGCAAAGCATTGAGCACATAAAATTTATGTTGAAATAATTTTACAGTATTTTAAAACATTTTATGGGGGGAAATATGTGATTTTTGAAGTGGGTTTCTTTTTCTTTTAATCTTTATAGTTGGTATTAGAAAAATTACTGACAAAAATACAATGTAGAGTTCTGTATTTTCTGTGTAGCTCTGTTGTTTTGTCCTCCTTGGTATTCATTTCAGAGTAATTTGCTCACTATAAGAAAAGTTTTAAAAGATGATTCTATTATATAACTTTTCTCAGTATATTAGAAATTGCACATTTCAGTGTGACATTAGACTGACCCCTGTGGAAGAAAGATATTCCTGAGATCATTCTTAAATTTGAAAGATCTATTTCAGTTTAAAATATAGAAAGGGACACAGTATACCAGACCAGTAATTTTATTTTGAAATAGTGTGCTGGTTTTATTGTGTAGAGTCCATTCATATTCTACATTTCTCCTTGGATTTAAGGCAACACTAAATAAATGATTTTTAAGACGTGGGATTTTTTTTGTTTTTAAATCTCTTGGTCATCACCCATGTTGTCTTGAGGTCAATGAAATGGTGTTTGTGAAAATTATTTAAAAAGAAAAAGCTGTATGAATGTAAAGTTAAGATGGTTGTTTCTTTGATCCAGTTAATACTTTTCTAGTAAAAATGTGTCTCTGAATTATCAAAGGACCTCTGTATTTTCTGCATAGTTAGTTTGTCAAGGAAATATCATAAATCATCTATTGATACTATTTACTTTTTTATATACATTTTTTTTGATTTCAGAGAGGAAGGAAGAGGGAGAGACAGAAACGTCAATGATGAGAGAGTGTCATTGATTGGCTGCCTCCTGCATGCCCCCTACTGGGGATCAAGCCTGCAACCCAAGCATGTGCCCTTGACCGGAATCGAACCTGGGACCTACCAGTCCGCAGTCCAATGCTCTATCCACTGAGCCAAACCAGCTAGGGCTATTGATACTATTTAAAAGAGTCATAGGATTATGCCTAGAATGTTTTACAATTATAATACATGTGATTTTGACTAAACACAGTTTTTTCTTACCATGAAAGAAATGTACTTCTGTTGCCGGCGGATGAAACTCCCCTGTTGTTTGGGGGAGCAAGGATCTTGGGGCACTGCTGAAAGAAGCATTTTCAGAAGCCCCCACGGGGGGATGGAATGTGGAAAAAGGCTTTATTGACATGGAATTAAATTTCTCAGGTTCCAAAGTCCCCTGTCCCTTAAGCCAGTCCTGGAAGAGGTGCATCTGGGAGCTCAGTAAAGTCAGAAACAAGGCTAGTGTCCAGAGTTTGCGTTCCATGTTGCAGCCGGGTGTCGATAAGCATTTGGCCTGATTAAAGTCCATTAGTCCATATGTGGAGCCCAACTCCTGGCAAAAGGGAGCACAGCCCCCCTGCAGCAGGCATCCTAAGAGGGCCAGCATGTGAAAGAGCTCACTTCTTTGTTGAGGAGTTTAAATATTCAGGTTTTGTTTTGTTTTGTTCCAAGTAAAAGAGATTTAGTATCATTTCAGCATTTGGACATTATTTAGGTGCTTAAGTTAGTTGAAGACATTTGAACATGAGATATTTGATATTAAGTAATTATGTATTTTTAGGTGTGATAGTGGTATTGGGGTTATTTTATTTTATTTATTTATTTATTTTAAATCTTTATTGTTCAGATTATTACATTTGTTCCTCTTTTTCCCCCCCATAACTCCCCTCCTCCCAGTTCCCACCCCACCCTCCGCCC